GGTGTCAGCCGCCAGAGTACCTGCCTCCCGGGGCTCGCGCCCCAGCTCTGAGAGGAGGTGCCCTCTCCGCTCGGACACCGCTCGGGGAGCCACGGCGTGGGCAGCGGTTGGGCCGGGTGGCTGGGGCGGCCGTGTGCCTCAAACCCCGAGCCGGGTTATTGACAGCCTCCTTGTGAAATGGAGTTTGGCACCCTCAGCGCCGAACCGAGTGGAAGTTTCCATGATGAGGAAGTTCTGTGACACGAGGGTTCGGAAAAGGTTGGCAGGCACTGGGGCTGGGGCGGGTGGGGGAGGCGGTTTAAAGGGACTGTGGGCCCCCCATCCCCCTGTTCTCCTGCCCCGGAACTCCGCGCTGGGAGAGGAGAATAATCCTGCGTGTTGCGTGCGCCGTCGCCAGTGCCTGGCGACTCGGCTTCTCCCCGCCTCCTCGGGGCATCGGTGGCGGTTTCGCTCGCCTCCCGAGTCGCGCTTCTTGCTTCCCTTCTCTTGACGCAGCATCTTCCCCTGGGCCGACTCGAGTTGGTTCTGATCCCAGGAGTTGTGCCAGCTGTGCGCTCCGCATCTCACCCCCGCCACCCCTCGGAGAAGGACTCACTGAGGGGAGTTTTTACTCCCGGTGGATTTGGTCCTTCTCAGCTGCAGTTGTCATTTTGCAGGAGGATTTCCCAGTGACCATTGTAGGTCGTTATTAGTGCTGACTCTTAAGCCTTCTGATCTGTTTTAATGGGAGTGGGTGAGGTTTTTTTTAATTTATTGAAGGTTAAATGTACAATTTTCCCCAAATGGGAAATTTTAAAGGAAGGGTCTCGAAGCATAACAATTCGTAAAGCAAGTCAAAGAAAAAGAGTTTACCTGAACATAGGAGCTCAGACTCTCCACCCTCCCCCTCTCAGCACACATTTAGAATTTGTGATGATTCGAACACTAAGAAAAATCAGTAAATAAATGAAACGAAGTCTTTCTCTTAGCGTGTTACTGGTGCTAGTCAGTTTTAAAGACCTGTTATGAGGTTCAAAAAATTAAGCATTCCTTGGACAGTGTTATTAATAACAGAAAACAGCAACTTCTAATACTGATAAACGTAGACCTTTGGGGCAACATCTTTATATTATTTGGCCGCCTTTTAGTTTACTATGCTTATTTACATTGCAATAATATATAGCACGCAATAGATTACAAGGTAATATAAATTGCATTCTAGTCAAAATATCCCATGATTCATTCTGAATATTCATGGTGACTACTCTGCCTTCTCATTGACTTCTGTTAAACTCTCTTATTCTGAAACAAGATAGGGGCTAGGAAACCTTAAAGAAAAAAGTGTTTTGATGAAAGTTATTTTGATCAAGGGATGTTTTCAGGAGTTTTCATGCCAGTTGGCTAAGTGTTTTAATTGACTCTAACAGAAATTCAATACTAAGCGATTTGTCTGGAGTATGAGAGGAGAAGGCACTGGTGAACAGCCACTTAATATTTGTGCACGTTAAACATACTATGAGAATCTTGTTTTTAAAGAATTTCGAAGTTTTCTTATATATCGGAAGTGGTATCATCAGCTAGTACATATGATTTGCCTTTCTTTCTCAGCAAGTGCAAGTAAATGATACTGAATATAGCCACAGACTATTTCTTTAATGAAGCAATTCCTGTTGGCATTACAATGCAAAGGCATAATTTTATCGACATCAACATATTGTTTTATAACTGACTTTGAAAGAGAAATAAATATTCCATTTCCCCCCCTTTTAGATGCTGTGTAGCAAATTCTACTATTGAGAAGAATTAAGACAACTTCCTTTTAATGTACCATCTTTGAGGGAAGGCAGTTTCTTAAAATTTTCTTAATTGCAGAGAAGATTGTGGGTCCCTTTCCTTGTCTGGGATTTTTGCAGTTGTTTGAAGCTTGGGGTGTGTGGAGCCAGAAATGGGATTGCACATTTCTTTTTTTTAGTAAGCTTGTCTTTTTGGTGGAAATCAGAGCAAAGGTGATTGGTTTCTTGAGCTCCTTTTTGTCATTTTATTGTAAGATGATGTGTTACCTTTTGAAAAGCGCTTCCCTGACCTTTTGAGCAAAGGCAGTCTCTCATTCCCTCTCAGAACCATCACATTGTTTTCCATTTCCTTGTTTCCCCCTTCCTTGGTCTTACTTGCAATCTGAATTGTTCATTTCAGTTGATGGCTTCTTAAGTACCTGTCAGAGCCCGTGAGAAAGAGTCTTGACTACCTTGTTCACTCTTGATTCTCTAGCATCCTGAACAGTGCTTGGCACACAGTAGGTGCTGGGTAAATATTTGTTGAATAAATGAATAGTTGTGCCCGAACATTGTTTTTCCAAAAATACCTGACTATACAACTAAGTGGGTACCCATTGGGATTGCCAAGATCTGCACCTGTGTGTAGATGTGTGTGCCATGTATATAGGGTTCACTTGTTATCTCTCTCTCCTTTCTTTTCTTTTTTTTAATATGAAAGCTAGTCCCATTTTATGTAGTGACCGTGCAGAGTTATTCTGCAGTTTCTTCCTGGGGACATTTGCCTTGAGTACATGGAAAGCCTCAGCAGCTGTTTGTCTTACGTGTTACCTTGATTTACCTTGAATCCCTAAAGACATTGACCTTCAACTCTCTGGGTTTCAGCAGAATCTTTGTGAGTTCCAGAGGCATTGTCAGTGCTGAGAGTGAAATTCCAGGCAACAGACATCACTGGATGACAGCAATGCCTTCTCACTCAGCAGGTTCTGGCAGTGCCTCTGGCCTTGGCAGCCCTGAGGGGACCAAGGGCGTGGGGTAGTATAGCTGGTCGACAGAAGTGGCCGTTGGGGAAGGTGCAAGATGAAACTGTGGGGACCCGATGCAAGATAGAAATATCCCTTGGTAGTAGCTTAGGAAATAAGCTGGTGGTTACCCCGTGTGTAACTTAAGTCATTCAACCACTCCCCCCTTTCCCTTCCTGCACATTTATAAACAGATTCTGAACCAGAGGCTTGTGGGAAATACTGCACTGTCTGAGTTTTCAAGCGACCGGGGTGAGAATACACCAGGGGTCATCTTCAAATTAGCTATTCATGGAATCGCTTTTGGCAATTGAGATGAAAAGGAAATTACAATTGATGATTGTGGTAATTTGGTTTTGTTTAGAGAGTATTGACTTCCAGAAATGTGTCTCAGTTAAATGCATAGGAAAAATCCCACAAAGTGATGAAACTGGTAAAAATGGGAAAGGAAGAAAGACTAAAATCTTACGGAGGAGTAAAGATAATCTAACTGAAGTCATAAGTGCTTATTGCTTTTCAGGATCTAATTTAGCTCTGAGCTTCTCAGTAGCCAAGTTAACAGAAAAAAAGGGGGACTGGAGGTGGCAGGTGTGCATTGAAGTTGTAGGATAAATCAGGTAACATTTGTAGAGAGCTTGCAATGGTGCCTGGCAACTAGTATATACTCCTATGAAATGTCAAATCATATAATGGCCAATACTTGAACTTCATTTCTACAGAAGACAGTCAAGTGTTACCAACCCTTGAGGAAGAAAAAGGCAGAAGGCATAATAATGGAATGTCACCCAGTGGGACTTTACCTTTAGGGGCCTGAGCTACCACGGCCCAGCAGTGGAGATTCTGAACGCTGTCCCCAGGGCAGAAATAGAGCTCAGCAAACCTAGAGGAATGAATGGTTAACATGTTCTGTAGGCTGACTTTCTCAAATATCCAGTGTCTCAGCCAAGCTTTGAACTGGAGCAGTTGGAGAGGACCGAGGACAGCCAGGTACTTGAAAATGACCTCATGGCCTTCAACCTCTCTGAACAGGTGGCCTCAATGCTTTGTGCTTTAGTCTGTGTAGTGCTCACCCTGCAGGGCAGTTTGTTTGTCTGTTTTGGTTTCGTTTCTGTCTTCCCCTCTAAACTGTGATGATGGGCCGTGGCTTTGTTCATCCTGGACTCCTAGCACCTAGCGAAGACCTTGACACCTGGGCACAGGGGAGTGCTCCTTGGAAGAGTGAATGGGAGGAGGAGAAGGGAGGTGCATCTCTTTCTTTTCTGATACTGCAGTAAGTGTCATCTTCTGACTTAGTTTTGCCCACAGTAAATGTTTGCTTCCCGGATTACATGTACGCAACATGGCTGAACATTTTGCCAGAAGGGCTTGTTCTAGTGTGCAAGCTAGTTAAGCAATAGATGGCAGGTTAACTCCGTGCTGGATTTCAAGTCATTTTGATCCCTTGATTTGATTCCTCCTTCAGTCTACAAAAATGTGTGTACCTACTCTGTGCTGGCCTTGCTAGTTGTTTTGCATCTCAGCATGTGGCCTAGTGACCTCTGAGACAATATGCCTTTATTAATGCAAAAGGATTCTGAAATAGTCTGCATGGTGATGGAATGGCCGTGCCTCCTGGGGCCCCTCATGTGGCCCCCTAGATGACACAAAGTTCTTTTAATCTGAGGAGGTGATTGTTCTGTGCTGCTTGTCGCCCACGTGTATCAGTGTAAATCGCAGTAGGATTCACCCAGGATTCTCTTGGGACCCGCATGCTGTGGGGTTGAATATGTGTAGGCCGGCGAGTCTCTGATGAAGGATGTTCACTCTCCGCCTTAAGTTCCCAATGTGTTAGTCAATGGTGGCATTTAAGCAAGTGGGGAGGACGGAGAATATCCAAATCACTGAGTCACGAGTCATAGATTTCCATATTCTCCTCTCGGGAACCAGGCCAGCTGACCGCCGGACTAGCGATCCATGTTTAACGCTGCTACCTTGTGGTCCTTACTGTCCTAATTTCAAGGGACTTGGGAGACTTTATGTACTGGCAGCTCTCCTTGGGCAGCACTATTTTTACTGAGTGAGAAACTGAGCTCTGCTGTGAACTTAAGTATCTTTTCCAAAATGGCAAGTCAGGAGAGCCTGGAATTTGGACCCAGGGACCTGGCTTCTGTTCCAGAAAGTGTGTTGTAGCCTTTCCATCATGACAATCAGACACTCTAACATAAACGTACACACGTATATATACAATATACATAATATTATATATACATAATATATAATAATGTGTGTATGTATGAAATGTATATATAACAGTATAATAATATGTATAATAGCATAGATGTATATGCACGTGTGTGTGTTGAGAGTAGATTGTAGATTGGGCACATGTAACAATTAGAGCAAATATTTTATTTTTAGTAGGGGAGGTAACTAAGTCTATTTATTTATTTTTAGAGGAGGTACAGGGGATTGAAGGCAGGACCTCGTGTATGCTAAGCATGCACTC